CTCGCGAGCTGCAGCCGCCGGCGGCATGAGGCGCGACCCGGCCCCCGGCTTCTCCATGCTGCTCTTCGGTGTGTCCCTAGCCTGCTACTCGCCTAGCCTCAAGTCGGTGCAGGACCAGGCGTACAAGGCACCCGTGGTGGTGGAGGGCAAGGTACAAGGGCTGGCCCCAGCCAGCGGCTCCAGCTCCAACAGCACCCGCGAGCCGCCAGCCTCGGGTCGGGTAGCGCTAGTGAAGGTGCTGGACAAGTGGCCGCTCCGGAGCGGGGGGCTGCAGCGCGAGCAGGTGATCAGTGTGGGCTCATGTGCGCCGCTTGAAAGGAACCAGCGCTACATCTTCTTCCTGGAGCCCACGGAGCAGCCCTTAGTCTTTAAAACGGCCTTTGCCCCCATAGACACCAACGGCAAAAACCTCAAGAAAGAGGTGGGCAAGATCCTGTGCACTGACTGCGGTGAGTCGCCCCCTCTCTCTGCTAGAGAAGGGGGGAGGGGCGAGGTGGTGGAGAATGGGGGTGGGGCAGGAGGTGCTGCAGGTGCCCAGGCCTGGCAGCGCCCAGCCACTGGGGGGTGGGGCCACCTCTGGGCAGGGTGCCTCGGCACGGGTGGGTGAGGGGATTGGGGTTGAGAATACGAGAATCAAGCGCAAAGTGTGCCAGGAGTGGGGGCATGAGAAGGAGCTGGCCTGTGCCAGTAGGTATCTGCGGCTGATATATGGCATGTGGGGTTGGAAAGATGCCATCATAGCCCAGCAGCAGCAGGAAAAACAGAGAGGTCGGTGGTGCTGGCCAGAGGCTCAGTGAGTCAGGAGTGACCCTCGGAGGCCTTGTCCGCTTTGCTGCCATGGGCCTGCCTTGCCCAGGCTGTCAGGGTCTGCAGGAGCAGCTGGGTATACTCTCAGGCTGTGAAGGCCACCCTTACAAGTTCTCCTAGGGAAGGATGGCCCCTCGCCCCCCTCCTTCCTCTCCTGGGCTCCTGGCTGCGCTGGTCCACACTGCTGGCGCAGGCAGAGTTGGACTTTTTCTGCTGTTTCCTGTCCTCCATGTGTCTCGGCTTTTTTTTTTTCTTTTTTTTTTTTCTCCATTGTGATTGCCTGTCTTTGCTAAGCTGGTGGCATAACCTCTCTTAACCTCCAGGACGAGCAAGCAGACACCTATTTTGGCTGTTTCTGTAGATCTTACTAAGTCTGTTGAGTGTGATGATGATGAAATAGAGTAACTTCTGTATGTTGGAAGTTCAGCTCTAACATCTTAACTGGCAGGATGTGTCAACTGCATCTCTTGTCTTCATAACAGTGAGTGCTGCACGGGTATGCAGTGACTAGGAATAAAACACTGACATCTGTAGAAATCGGTAGATCTGTGCAGCTGGGAATGGAGGACTCCCCAGTCAAAAGTCAAAGAAATGTCAGTGTGAGAGCTTTTATTCCCCTGTGCCTGAAGCCAGTATTTACTCCTCAGTAAAATAGTTCAAACCAAATTGTCCCCACACTGGACTATTTGGTGTTAGCTTGTCTTGTGTTTGTTCACTTTGTCCCAGCTAAGCCTGACTTTAGTGTTTGAGGGTGACTCTCTGAGCTGTGTAATCACTGAATTGTTATAGATATGTTGGGGTATGTTTACCAGTTTAGGAACTGAGTCTGGGTGTTGTAGATAAAGTTTGAGAAGCAAAGAATGTGCTTCGTAGCAAGTTTTGCTGCCTTCATCTTTCTAGATCAACACCTTTGACTTTTGGAAGTTTCCCTCCTCCACCCTTCTTCCCTTCCTGTCTTTCAAGAGACAAATTTTAGTTTAGTGGTGGGAGTATATCTAGGTACTATGATAAACTGCTTTGCTTTAATCAGAAGACTCTTACGATTTCTTTATAGGGAGGGAAATAACTTTGATGACAACAGCAGTTTCTCTCTCTGACATTTTTCTGAGGAATATTGTTGGCTGCTCTGTTGTGTTGGTTGTATGCTTTGAAATGCTTTGTAATGGCAAGTTGAGACTAGTTAAGAATTTCTAATTTTCCAATCTTGTAAGTATTTCATCTTCCTTCCTTTGGAGAGCTATGGTTCTGTATTATGCAGTGGAAAATGGATAGTAAAAACATTTATGAACCTTGCCCAAGGACAGCTCCTGTTCTGGTTTTCAGTGAGTTGCACAGTGCAAGTTGCCACATAATCCCTGGTCTGGTCCGGGGAGCCCTGGTGGTCATCGTCAGGTAACTTCAGAGAGTAACTAGCTTCTCTGCTCCCCTCCTCCTCCTCTTCTTCCCACTTCAATTATACCTTATCCAATTTAGCTAATTGAATTTACTAGTTTAGTAGTTGAATATGGAAGTCATAAAAGATTTGGGGTCAGAAATACAGCCTGCTTTTAGGTTATGGTCATCTCCTTTTATTAAAATATTGTGTGGAGTAGAGTTCTTCAAAAGATAAATTTAGGACTGCAATTACGGCTGAAAAGAGGCCTTTACACATCACAAATTATTGAGGTGTAGGAATGTAAGTAAATATTTTAGACTGCAAAAATTTTTGCTTTGAGTCGATAGAATATAGATACGGGTCAATTTAGGGGGATTATATAAGGAGATTAGAAACAGTGCATTTTCTTATTTTCCTACTAGGTGGTTAATGCACTGGTAATGGCTTATTAAATAAGGAAATAAAATCATCCTAACTAACCGCAACACCTTCCTTGTACTCAGAAGGAACTAACTAACAAACTCATTTTCTGTTTTCTATCTCTAAAGAAAACCCTTTGGACCGCACAGTCATTGGGAACATTTTCTCCTTGGGGCAGATTTGCCCATTGCAAAATAGGGAAACTGGCACTTAGAAACTGTCATCATGGCCGTTATATTGAGCAACTGTGGTTGAATTGATACTTTGTTTAGCCAGTTTCAGCTCTAAGGGTGTCTGGATTCTGAGAAGTATGGTTCTTTGGGAAATCATTTAAAAAGATATGCATTGGTGGATGGGGACTTTGAGTAATAAACCATATCGAGGGTTATGCTTTATTAATGCTTAAAATTGGCACATACCTTGGCATCTAACATTGCTACAAGGGTCACGTTAGACCCCCTTCAAAAAGGTGTTCTTAACATTTCACTGAATGTGTGAAATGTTGACTTGAAGCCTGTAAAGTGCTCTTGGAATAACAATACCTGTCAGAGGCATTTTATAGTCAATGTGTGTCATTCAGCCATAATTACTACCTCTACAGGTTAAGAGTTGATTAAAATCTTTGCATTTTTCAGAAGATTGCATACATGAAGGGGGTTTCAGTACCTTCTGTGGAAAGGAGAAGATAATGAGCTAAGAAAGGATTCTCAGGGATTAGCCACTCTGTACAGTGCTATCAAAGCATCCTGTTATGCAAATATCCTGCATTTTCAACCATGGTTACATGTATTTTGGTGTAATCACATCCTATCTTGATGCTTTTCTGTGTACATTTTTAATCTGTTTCTTTACTGAATAGATGACAGAAAATTACTCTCCCTCTGGGACTTTCTGGTTTGCAGTTTTCAAGTGTATAGGGTACTTTGTTGATGGAAAAGGTGTATTTCTGGGGGACTTTAGGACAGTTATTCATTCATTTGGCACCCAGATTCACATATTAGAGGATGGTGTTTCACAAAATTCACTATAGCAAAAGCAACTGCATATTTTTAAAATGCTGTTTATTTAAAGAATCTTTTCTTTCCAGCCAGCTGGAAACCCAGCTGTGCTGCAGCTTGAAGATGGGAAAGTGAAACTAGATTAGAAATTGACCAGCCCTAGGGGTGAGGACAGGCTTGGTTAAAGATGAAGGGGTTGAATTACCATCATAATGTCATTATTTCTTTTAGTGGCTGTTTTCCTAAGAATTTTCTGTTCTTGGGGCAAAAACCATCTCTTTACTTTGAGGTCTCCTTTCTCCTAGTTCTCTTTCCCATGTTCTTCCCCCCACCCCCTCACTCCCCTACCCCCCAACCCCCCTACCAAGTGTTTGGTACTGTGCCAGACTATAAGCCTCTATAAGAGGGACTCTCGTGAGCATCTTTTGAATGGATAAAGTCAAGTGAAGTTTTTTTAAAAAAAGCTTTCAGATTAATACCAAAACAACCTTAACTCTCCAGTCTGTGACACCACTTCTTGTGCTGAAAGCTGAGTTTGATGATAGCCTTCACCTGTCACTATGGGAACCTTTTTATTTTCCCCAAAAGAAGTTGTTATCAACTGGAGTACTTAACCACAATGTGTTTAATCATTGTGCTGATTAGTGTTAATGGGATTTGTGTGGTGGAGAATGAAGGTCTTGTTGGAAAAGACCCTCTCCTTTTTCTTTTCCGGAGGTGGGAGGGTAGATTACCATCCCTCCACCCTGGTATTTAAATGATAAATAAAACAACTATCAGTTTGAAATAACAAATGGATGGGAATTAGTGAGAGTGATATATTAACTAACTAGGTGACTGATTTCTTGCCTAATCCTCTGTCATAGTTTATTATCTAGGCTATTTTTATTTTATTTTCTAATAGCAAAGATGTTGCAGTTTAATTCTTTATCAACTTGCATTTATAATTTGAATATTTATGTGACTTGAAATTCAGACAGTATGTAGGAAAATATCATGAAGTCTTTTGCTCGTCTCTGGCCTCAGCTGCCCAGTTTTAAGACAATTGTAAAATAATATTCTAGAAACATGTATTTTTCTAAAAGCAAAAGGTTTTTAAAAGTCATCTTATGTTTTGTTTCTTTTGACAGATGAGGAATATATGAATTTTGCCAGTAAGCCAATTTTATGGTAAATTTTCCCCAAGTAATACATATATTTTTTAAACTTAGCCCATTATTTTAACCTCACAAATACAACCATAGGATCGAGAATGAAAATGCCAACTTATTTTTCAGCTTCTTTGCAGTGCCCTGTGACAATGAAACCTTAATTGAGATGTTCAAAGGAGAGAACCAAAGGTTTGTTACTTAGCTTAAGGGCAGTAGCTCTACCCAGGTTCTATTGTTTCACGCTCTCAGTAATCTTTCAATAGCATCTGCGTGGGAAATTACAATTCCATATATGGAAAGAGAAAACTCCATAGTGCACGCTCACTTTGATTTTCATTTAGAAGTCAAAGACCCCAGTTGCTGACAAAGAATTTGATTTGAGCATATTCATGTATAGCTGGTACAACCCTGAGGGAAGGGGATTAACAACCCAAATGCTATTTAGGAGTCCATTTCAGGTAGCTGATTTGAACATAGTGTTAATATTTTAGAGGAACAGGAAATTCCCATTAGGATATGTAAAGAAAAAAGCAATGTGCACGTCTAAACAGTGGGGCATCTCTAACCTGTTGCTTTAGTAGCATTTGACAATTTTGAACATTGATTCAGAAAAGGAATGGTATCAATCTGAGTGCAGTTTCCTCCCTGTGGTCTTCAACAACTTGTTCTTGGGTGTTTCTTTTCAAGTTCTGCAGTAT